GTTCTAAACATCTTGGAGAACTAAGCACAGATCTTCTGTGGATATAGGCTGCCTCAAATCCTTCTGTCTCTTCATGTAGTCTCAGACAGACTCAATGATGTTGAGATCAGGGCTCTGGGGAGCCAAACCATCACTTCCTGGACTCCTTGTTCTTCTTTAAACTGAAGATACTGTAGCTCTTAATGGCATTGGCTGAATGTTTGGAGTTGTTGACCTCCTGCAGAAAAAATTGGGGGTCAATCACATGCCTCCCTGATGGTATTATAGCATGATGGACATCCACAGAAGATCAATGGTTAGACGTTTGCAACAACCTACCTGTCGAGTTCCTTCAAAACCTGTACCTAGAAAAATAGATGCTGTTTTGAAGGCAAAGAGTGGCCACACCAAATATTGATTTGATTTGAATTTCTCTTCTGTTCGTTTACTTTTGTTTTTACTCATGTTTTTAATTGATAAAAAATAAATATAAAAACACTTCTATTTCTGAAATCTTTCTTCTATTTCCTAAAACATTTGCACAGTACAGTATGTATAGAGAAGACAACCCTGGCGGAATATAACACTTACCTTCTGCAATGTTAAAATAGTCCATCCTGTGCAAAATTGCTAGCAATATGAAAATGGGTCCTTTGTAACCAATAAAGTTTTAGCATTACAAATGAAAACAAAGCTGACGGAAAAGAAGGAATTATAATGGCTCAATAATTTCTTTATATTCTCAAGAACATCATTTTCCTTCCCTTCTTACTTCCATGATTCATATTAGAACAAGTTAGGGTAAAACATGAAATAACATCACTTTTAGACGCTTCATTTTGTTCTTGAGTAGGCACATGTTCACCTGCTGAAGTTCTAGTGCAAAGTTCATGTTTTAAAGATGACAAGGATACAATGATCCGGGGCGTTGCACTCCAGATGAAAGGGGCCTACCCTTGTCATTGAAGAGAATACAGACACACAGAAATAGGAGGAGGGACGGGCACTGTGAGTAATACAAAGCACACAGCTGCCTCGGTGCAGCATCAGCCAGGCTGGGTTTACTCTACCGTAGTTTACATGGAGGAAGGGGGGCGCAGGCTGCCCTTGGACACAAATCCACTACCTAGTAGCATGGCCACCGCGCTCAGCATGCTTGTTACAAGCATCCCGGCATTCCCAAATGACCGCACACATGACAAAGAAAATAAAAGCCATTTACTAGCGTAGGTTTATTACAATTATTGGGAGATGAAGAAGACGGATGCTGCAGCAGGAGCACCACCTTCATTCCTTCATCCGCCCTGTCAGCTTATAAGATTAGGACCTGAATCATTCTAATGAGATTTAAGGCCATCCAAAGGGGTAATGACATCAAGATTTAACCACATTTCTGCATTCTGACCTTCACACGCTCCCTCGGTAAAGAGCCATTCGTACACATTACGCGGCGTAATTGCTTGCCAGTATTATATATTGGAAGAACGTGTATTACTGAACAGAACCAGATGAAATTAACATGGTAATTTTATGATGGCACAGTCCTTTCATTCATTTGTAAATTCTTCACCTATACCTAATGATAGTTATGTGCCAACTAACTGCCATTTTTTTTTTTTGTAAATAATACACTATGCTTTTTAATGCAGGTGTTCAACAGCATCATATGATTTATCACCAGAGCTGGTGGCCTATCAGAGGAAATCTTCCATTTGTACCGATAGAGGAAGCATGCCTCTGTGTTATTTCCCCTTAAACGCCAGGCATGTTATCTATACCGATACTGGCAAGCTGATATGTGGTGTAACACGATGCCAAGAGACACACACATGCCTTGGGCTCACACTATCCTCCATCCTCTGTTATAATTTATACCCAGCTAGGTATACAGTCACATGAGCATCAGACAGGCCTGCGGTGCTGTGCTGGAAGAAGCATGCACCCAGCATCATCCTTCCAGACAAAATGCCTTTCGCAGCCAACCACAATCACTAGATAAACATCCATTAAATGATAGGGCACAATCAATGCTGCTTACCTCTCACCATAAAAAAAAAAAGATGAAGATCCTCGGTGATGTGATGGGAGAGCACGCCTGCTGTGTGTACACTGTGTAATGATGACGGCTTTGCACATGCAAGAGCTGGGTTAAGAGGAGGAATGGGTGGGAGGAGACTGTAGTCTGTGTGTCTGATACAAATCCACCTCTGTACAAGCTGGAGCAAGCTGTATGCATCATCCTGGTCCAGGGAGTGGTCCATACACACTACATCTACTGCCGTTTTTGCCATGATCTCATAAAAATATGACGTTAGGAGGAATCAACTGAAAAAAAAAAAATCTCTTTCTTTTGTTTTTAAAAAGGTGCTTTATGATTACATAATTGTATATACAGAACTATGGAAACTTTAACCAGTTCAGTACAAAACTGGGCATATACACAGAATTGCAGGTCTGAACAGCACTGAAGGGCTGCATATTTGGTAATATTGATTTTTATAGCGCCAACTTCTTCTGTCGCACTGTACAAAGTGAGGATTTTTAGGGACTATAACATATATGGGCAGCACAGTGGCTAAATGGTTAGCACTTCCACCTGACAGTGCTAGGGTCGTTGGTTCGAATCCCAACCACAGCACCACCTGCCTGGAGTTTGCATGTTCTCCCTGTGCCTGTGTGGGTTTCCTCCGGGTACTCCAGTTTCCTCCCACACTCCAAAGACATGCTGATAGGTAAATTAGCTCCTGTCTAAATTGGCCCTAGTATGTGTATGTATGAATGTAAGCTAGGGACCTTAGTTTGTACACCCCTTGAGGGTTACAGACTGATGTGAATGTACCAGGGGCGGACTGACAACTGATGGGGCCCCCAGGCCATAGGGGATCATGGGGCCCCTGTGTCCTTGCACAAACTCAATAAAAGCCTATGAAAAAGGTACCAGGGGCATCTCATGGGGCCCCCCACTGACCCTGGGCCCTCAGGCAGTACCTGAGTTTCCAAATGGTCAGTCTGCCCCTGGAATGTACAATATGTATATGTAAAGTGCTGCAAAAATTGACAGCACTATATAAGTACCTGTAATAAATAAATATACTGTAGAGCTTGTGTACACATGATGCAGTCAAGTGCATTTATAAACATACAGTAGTATGAACACCATACAAGTACATATGCAGGACACATGAATATATTTCATAGGAGTTGATTTAATGAAGGCAAATAGGCTGTGCACTGAAAGTGCATTTGCTCTAGACCTGAGGGGAACATGCAAAAAAATATTAAAAAAATAACATTTTTGCTTGCACGTGATTGGATGAAAGAGATTCGCCTCATTTCTGAGTTTCCTCTCGGATCTAAAGCAACTGCACTTGCAGTGCACAGTGTATTTACCTTTAGTAAATCAAGCTCAATGAGTCTAATCGCTTTCATGTGCGTTTAAAAAAAAACAGCATGAGGCATTTTTCTGCACTGGAACGCACTATAAACACACGTAAATGGAAGAAAGAATGCTGCTGCGCTTATGAATAAAAGCAAAAATTTTTTTTCTGAGTTGCATTTTTATAGTCTGTCCCCACCATTAAAGCTTTTATGGTTTTACACTATGGGATGTCCATTTTTGTTTTCATTTTTATGCTGATTGCTTGAATACTGCCTGTGGAGGAGAGGAGGATTTTTGGTATTGATATAGCCCTTGTGAAGGAACACCGGTTACCATTAGCAATGTCGCTTAACGCTTGTGAAGGAACATTGGTTATTATTACCACGTTGCACACTGGGATAGCGCATACGACCATCCTAGAGATAGGTGGTCATGGGATGACGGTGAGTGCAGATCCATGGGCGGCACCAATCTGAGCACAGTGGAGCACCTGTCACTTTAATATGGAGTTCACAATCAAGGATTGAGCACCCTTGCACTTTATTCACATACTGGGACTGAGTACTATTACCAGTATACTATGTGTATTGTTTATCACAAATCATTTACTTATTGTCACAAAGTTTATTGTTTGCATGGCCCAAGCTCGGTCTATATGGTATTTACACACGTAAATGGACCACAATACACTTGAATGCACGTGAACACACCACAATTGCATGTGAATGCATGCAATGGAGTACATTTTAAAAACTCAAAAAAACACATTGTAAACACACTGAAATCACGTTGCAAACCCTGTGAACATGGAGATTGCCGTGTAAACAAGCCCATAAACACATGAATAAAAATGTTACATTTTCTGCAAAACACATGCATTTTACCGCATGAAAATGTACTTCCAAGTTGCAGATTAATGTGAAAGGGAAAGGGAAACTTTATGGGCATAATAACACCTATGTATTTATGTTACCATGCATACTGTGACACTTGAATCCATCATAAGGCATTCACACTTGTGCATATTTTATGCAGGGCAGTTGTAGTGTATTATTATTATTATTTAGGCAAGCCATAGATCAGCCTTTCTCAACCAGGGTGCCCAGGCACCCTGGGGTGCCTCAGGATTTTTTCAGGGGTGCCTTGGCAAAATGTCTAAAAATTGCCCAAAACATGTATACAAGTCAGTGGGTGGAACAAGCCTGCCTTTTAGTTACACAAAGCCACAGGTTTTCATTGTGCACCATTATGACTTTCTAGCCGCCAGTGTTCTGACAACCAATGACATCATCGGTTGCTAAGGAGCATGTCAGCTGCCTGCAAAGCATCCTAGTTTAACCCTCCCCTTCCCCTCTCTATCAGTGCTGGGGTCACATTAGCTCAGTGATGGATAAAAACTGAGGGAGAAGAGAAAACACTTGAATGCTAGTCAGTACCAGTGTGCAAAAGTGTATTTGCTTTGGAAGAATAAATCACCTCTAATGATGGGTGTCCTACATGTGTGGATGTTGCTGCATTATACAAAATGATTAGAATAGTTTTTCACATTTTAGGATGGGGTGCCCTTTTAAAATTATGGACTGTCTTGAGGCACCCCACTTTACAATGGAGTGCCTCAAGACCAGGGGCGGACTGACAACTCATGGGGCCCCCAGGCAATAGGGGATCATGGGGCCCCTGTGTCCTTGCCCAAACTCAAAAAAGCCTATGAAAAAGGTACCAGGGGCATCTCATGGGGCCCCCTACTGACCCGGGGCCCTCGGGCAGTGCCCGAGTTTCCAAATGGTCAGTCCGCCCCTGCTCAAGACTGTCCATGATTTTAAAGGGTGCCTCAGGACTGTCCATAATTTTAAAGGGTGCCTTGACTGAAAAAAGGTTGAGAAACACTGCCATAGATGATGCAATTTTCTTTCCAGCAACCTTGATTATCTTTCCTGCACTCACTGGATTCTCCCATCAACATAGTTGTCACGTACCTGATAGGAGACTAAAATGACGAGGTCGGCCTCACTTGTGTCACTAGCCCTGACCCCACTGGAGTTGGGATAGAGGGAGTCTAGGACCCAGGGGAACAAGAGCGCCACTAGTTGTTGTTTCCAGCTCCTGCAGATGATGACCTTGGAAGACCAATGAACTGATCCAGGCACAGTGGTAACAAGCAGAGCAGGTCTTGTAGATTGCCAGGCGTGCACCAGAGCAAGGCAGGTAGTGAGGACAAGAGACAGGAGCAATGTCATAAGAATAGCCAGGGTCATCAACAGCCAGGCAGCACGGTACAGAATCAGAAGGAAAGCCAAGGTAAGGAGCAGAGCTGAAGTCAGGAACCAGTATCAATCAGGAGAGCAATCAGAGTCAGGTGAAGAACAAGCCAGGTCAGCAACAAAGGAATCATACAGGAACAAGCAGGACATGGGGGAGCTGAAGACCAGTCAGCACTCAGCACATGCAGAGGCACTTCTTAAATAGTCTGTCTGGCGCCAATGTTCACAGTGCGTGTGCACGTGCGTGTGCGTGATCGTGCATTTCTCTGCACATGCATACTTCTATTCACCAGCCGTCTCACGGGAATTCCCTTACAATAGTCAATGTTGATGGAGAAAGTCATCCCTCACTGTGTTTTTCCAGCAGGGAGCCTTCCCAGCTGGCAGAACTCAAGGACTGCTATTGTCGGCTGTAGAATCTGGCAGTACTCACAATGAAAAAATCCAACAGGCTGGTTGTTCTGAAGTCTATCGATCGATTGACTTCAGTACAAGCTGTAACAGCATATACCCAGAGACTGAAGCAGTCCTCCATTTTGTTAAGAACCTCCATCTTGGCAAAGGGGTTAACCATCCTGACAAACATATTTCCCCCTCATTCTCCCCCTCCCTTTCTGAGAGTCACAGCGACATTTGGCCAGTGCGTATGTGTGTGTTAGGAGTGTCACAGGAGGCCAGGGCCCAGCAGGGGGCTAGGAGCTATAAAGTTCCCAAGGGAGCTGGGGCCTAGCTGTCTGAAGAACCTGTAAAATGTAACACCTCGTATAAGATAAGGCAAGCTTTCCCTGGAGTTCAAGACATTCCAAGGAAGGCAGGACCAGCTAACACTTTTAAAAATCCATTTTTCCCCTATGTCTCATATCTTGGATTATGAGAGACTTACATAAAAACCAGACATATCATCAGATTGGCTAAGAGAAGACGAACAATTTGATAGGTCACTCGCCTTGTCTCGAATACATAGGAAAGCTGAAAAATAGATCTCGTGAACCTTTCAGTGTATAATTTCATAATTCATCATCAATCTAATTAATCCTCAGACGTGTCTGCATAATAATCTACCCGCGGGTGGAATGTCACTTGTGCATAGGAAAAGTTATGAGCCAAAATATGAACTAAACTAGATTTTGGCTCTAGTTTAGGTCCACGCCCAGACCTTCACGCCCTAAACGGGGTATTGGTCCTTGACTTCAGAGACACCCCCTGCTGGGGAACTACAAATTAGGCTGTCAGGCCTAAGAAAAGAAAGTTGAAGACATCTCCCATTTTAACATCAGTACCACCTGGGGAGACCCGTGCCCTTTCGCTCTGAAACTTGGATCTGCTAACCCAGGACTTTGGCAAGTACCTTAACCCTTTCACCTCTTTGTCATATCTCTTTGCTGTGTTGTTAGTCTCTGTATATTTATATATATATCTTAGTTACATCTTTTCTGTAAATATTTTTATTGCACCCATTTGACCTTTTAGTAATAAATCTTTCCTTCTGAAAGTGTTGAACTGTTTCTATAGCGCTTTATTGCAATTTACGAATTCCTGCCTCTAAAGAGAACGCTACTGTGTTTGTTTAACCCTCCGTATAACTGTGTTATACAGATGATTACCTCAACCATTATACTGTTATTGCGGATATCGCCGAGTTTCCTCTTTCTCTGTACAAAAAGGAGGTGGTGGCAGTGTCAAGGGTTAATTGCGTAATTAACCTGACCCAGTAACAATCGCTCAGGCTGCCGGTACATCGATTGTGGTCCCAGTAGCTGGAAAATCGTTGTGCAGGGTGCAGCTGGGTGTGGCATTGCTACGCACGTGACATCGTGGGTTTTAGATCGGCTAGTCCTTCGGTCACGAATTTGGTGAGAAGGGCTGGGGTCTGACGCCACGATCGTGACACAATCAGCCTGCCAATGGATGGATCAATCTATCTACGGCCAACTTTACATTGCATTCTTGATGCATTGAGGCTGAATTTTCAATGTTCCATATGAATTTCAGGACAAACGGTAAGGCACATGTATAGGTGGTAATTGGCTCATATAGCTTCCCATTCATACAAGACTGCAGTGCATAATGTGAACCAGCCAAACAAGAAGGAATGGGATTTCTACTTTAAAGGCCAACTCCGGGAAATGTAAAAATGATCCCTTGCAGTGGCCGGACTGCAAGGGTTAATTACGCATATAGGTATAGGTGACTTAGTGTGACAAGTGTGTTATATTTCATTACTTACCCGATCCTCCACTTCTTAGGGCTGTTAGACCAGTCCCTGCAGAATCTTCTCCCCCTATAATTTCCACATTTCCCAGAGTTGGCCTTTAAAACCTTTTTTGTGTGTTTTTTTCTGCACTAAAACAGACCACTATCACATGTATCACTATGGAAAGTGTTTTTTTGTAATTGTGCAAAAGATGCAGCAGCCAGGATTCTTTTTATTCACTGCATTAATACAAGTATTTGAAAATGTAGCTTTGGTATAAAGCAAAGTGAAGAAACTGCTGAATCCGTTTCCAGGAAATTGGATTGTTTTTAACTACTTGGCGCTGACAGTACGCAAATATGTGGCCTCTCAGCTGCTGGGCCATGACGCCGAGAGGCGAACGCCCTGCATACTCCTGGCACATTTAATGGCGCCTCACAGACAGGTCGCAATTGCTAATTGCGATGGGAGCTTTCTAATCATGTGACTGCTGTGACAGCCAATTGCAGCAGACACATGACCCTAAACCCTGCCCTGCCTCCTGAAATCACAAACCCCTTAAAGGGCTGGGAGATGTCAGCACCAAGGGGTTAATGATTGAGTAGAGATTGTCACCTTGTAAAGTGAATGGTCACTTATCTTAGTAAATAAGGTGATGCTGTATTAATTTCAACAATTCAAGCATGTGCAAGTAAAAGTCCTTATTTATCTTCCTTTTCTATGAATGAGTATGCACAGGTGCTTTACTGTACAAGCATAGGTACAAGAAAAATGAAAACAGCAAAGTTTGCAGTTGTGAATTTTTGCAACACTTAGTTGAGTTTTTTTTATGGACTCCCGGTATAAGGTCTCCATGACACCATAACGCAATGAACAATAATCCACTGTATGTGAGCACTGAAATTTATTTGAACTCCAGGCAAATAGCCACATACACAGACTAAATACATATAAGTGTAGCAAACTCCTAGACAGGCGCTAGGATTAGGTAAATTTAGTTCTGGCTCACTGTATCCAGTGGAGTTGCATTTTGTTGCTAGGTAAATTTAGTTTGACACACTGTAATCAGTGTGGCTATTTGTGATTGTTTAGAGCTGATGTGTATTTCCGGTTCTCCCTCTGATGATGTGCCATTGCACGAAAGGCCTCAGGAGGAACCAGACAGAGCGTGATGTCACTGCCGCCGGAGCTAGGAGGAAGCCCGGCGGCCATCTTTGTTAGGGTTAGTGCTGCACACTCTGCAATTGTGTGTATGTCACATTACTACCCTGTATTTTACTGCATTACTATTAAAACAATTTAAGCATACTACACTATGGGCACCTTACTGGAGCTATTAGGCTTGCAGGTCATCCCCAGAGATTTGCTACTACCAGAGGAAAGGAGCCCTGTGCTCAGGCTGAGCACCTAATCCATCCTTAAGGGGACCTCTGGACCCAGCAGATTCCTATCATTTTTTTCCAAGGCTTGATGACTACACCATAGAAGGAAGTTCACCTATCTATCCCGCCTACCCAAAGTTACCTTGGTGGTTATTATATTACATGCGCACTACCTATGCGGTTTCCGGTGAGTGCGCACTTTAACTATTGGCTGGTGATTTCACTACCCTTGGATTTATTATTTGAACTATACTAGCGGATTAATTTACACATTTTTATTGGTTAACCTTCTATTGGTTATCCTTTTATTGGTTATCCATTTATCATTTATTTATCATATATTTATTTAGCGCTGCACCCTTATTTTACTGATTTATCTGAAGGTTTTATCTTGGTACCTTTTTGGTGTTTTAGCAGCTATTTTTAAAGGAGCGCTCACTATCTTTACTATTTTATAGCCTATAAGAGCTTATCAAAAAGGGGAACAGATTATTGTGTCCCACCTGGAAGGGGAGACCCACAGGAATTGCTGGGGCTTTCACAATTTCAGCGTATGCTACAGTAGAGGATAGCAATTGAGTATGGGTATGAGTATTATTATTATGCAGGATTTATATAGCGCCAACAGTTTGCGCAGGGCTTTACAAAATGAAGGTAGACATTACAGTTACAATACAATTTGGTACAAGAAGAAACAGAGGGCCCTGCTCGTTAGAGCTTATAATCTAGGAGGAAGGGTTGAGTGATACAAAAGGTAATAGTTGTGGGGGGATGAGCTGATGGAGGAAATAAATGGTGGTTTACTAGGTATAAGCAGGATAGACTTCTTTAAAGAGAAAGGTTTTCAGGGATCGTCTAAAGGTGGATAAATCAGGAGACAGCTGGAGAGGTTGGGGTAGAGAGTTCCATAGGATGGGAGAAGCTCGGGAGAAGTCCTGGAGGCGAGCATGGAAGGAGGTGACACGGGAATTAGAGAAGGTCTTGGGAAG